GGGAAATTATAGGCATCTCTCGCGGGAGATATATCTCTCACGAGAGATACATCTCCCGTATATATATTAACCAATCAGAGTGTGCCATTGCATATGATTAACTAGATAAATATGAGATGGCCAAAATTAAATGATCAACGGTAAATTTACCCCAACTCTAATTCTTAGGCTGGGTGTTGTCTAACGCACATATCAAGTTTTCGTATGAGACTAGTATCACCAGGCAAAAAAATTTCGCAAATCATATGATCGTATAGCATTTTCTAACATATCAAAAAAAAATTTCGCTGTTAGTTTAGGGTTAGGGTTCTACTAGTAGGTTAGCGTTTGGTTTAGAGAGTTATAGGTATAGTAAAATTTCATGAGGAAAACTTTTTCTTAATACGCAGAAGGCATTTTCATAAGCAGAATTTTAAGCTATAGGTGTTTTTTTGTTATTTTGATTCTTTTGCGCTTCCTTTGCGTTACACAATATCTTGAAATCTGATTGGTTGCGAAATTTTTTAGACTGGTGATTTTAGGGTCGTTAGTTGAAGTGGTACACTGATCCGCCCGATTTCTTTACTTGTAACTGTACGCGCCTTATTGCTATAAATATTAACAATTAAACAACGATAACAACAAAGCATACAGAAGGTTTTCATGTATGTACGTACGTACATACATACGTACATAATGTTAGTACTAATATAGTCTTTTTTATAGTTTATAAGAGCCAATTATAGTTTTTTCTTGTTGCAAGCGTATTTAATATTCTTGTCCTTATATTCATATAAATAGATTGATTTAATTTGATTAGCATTGGTGAGAACAAATCTTCAACTAAAGTTTTTCTAATACTGTAATATAATCTAGTTTAATTTTCATTGATACTATAATATCAAGATCATCATTTTTTTTTAAAGATTTATATAAACTGTACCAGCTAGGTATAAGAAACCATTTACATTTGTGGTCTACAAAGGGTTGTAGGATTTTTAATAAGTAGGTAATATATACATTTTAGATTTTGCCAACCAAATTGTATTATAAAAAACTTATAAAATTTACCAATTTTATTCATAAGATAGAAGTGAATCCCCACAAAGTACAGTTCTTTGGAACTGATAAAAAAAAAAAACTTTGAAATAATATTCATTCGATAATATCATTTTAATAATAGATTCTATTGTATTAAATCTAGAGAAACAACTTGATAATGATAGGTATTAGTAATATATAATATAGAAAGTAGATATTAATATAGAAAATTAACAGTGTTTTTAATATTTTCAAAGAAATTGGACTAAGTCAATCTGTTAGTAATAAATCTGATATACAAAAATATGAAAACCCAAAAGAATGTAAAGACTCGCATGACTCTGAACTTGAAAGCCTATTAAGATCTGAACCTGAAAGTCTATTAGGATCTGAACCTGAAAGCCTATTAGGATTTGAACCCAAAAGCCCATTAGAATGTGAACTTAAAAGCCCATTAGAACCTAAAATTTTAAATAATAAAAATGTAATAGAATCTGAAATTTTAATTTTTTAAAATAGTCAAGCTTACCCTTCTCTCGAAGTCTTTAAGTGTATTGCTGACCACTATGCACTTACAAGTGGGTTCAATGTTATTTACAATAAAGACAACAATCATAGTGATGGTATATGTCGTACCCAAGTTTTCATATATGATTGTTATAGTCAATTTAAATCTAAAAATAAAAACCCAAACAAAGCAAGCAGAAATGTTGAATCAAAAAAGTATAGTTGCGAGTGGTTCGTCTGTCTCAATTATAATCAAGATAAGAATAAATACTAAGTTTCTCATACCAAACTCAGCCACAACCATTCACTAATTCTGGTTTAACTTATGCATTTCTTGGCTAATAATCATAAAATACCAGTCGCTATTAAGAAAGAAATATTGCTCTTAAAAAAAGCTAGCATTTCAATATCCCAAATTCAATCACTGCTTATAACAAAATATGGACTAATTGCAAAGAACTAGGTAATTTGAGATGTATACAATTTAATTAGCAGTAACTGTATATTACATAGTAAATTCCAGACACATAATTTTCTCCTTCTTCTTCAACAAAAATACAGAAATGATCCTGAGTTTTCTTTTGAATTTGAGTTAGACCAACATAACCAGTTAAAACATATAATCTGAACATACCTATCACAAAAGCGACAATATATGCACTTTACAACACAATTATATATAATAATACATATAAGTGTAATTATTTTTCAACACCATTTAGTGTATTTACAGGTATTACAAATCATGAGCTTTCTTACTGTACTGCTGATGCTCTGCTTTATGACAAAACTTGTTTAAGTTTTGAGTAGCTTTTCAAAGCCTTCATTCGTATTTTTGGTACTGCACCCCAAACTATTCTTATGAACAATGATCTCTCAATGGCTAATACTATCTATTCTGCTTTAACTGATAAATATAACACTAAGCATGGTCTCTGTATATGGCATATGCTGAAAAACGGTAGGTCTAATATGACCTCTAAGATTGGATCTAAATATGATGGGTTTCATGCTGATCTTATTAAATGTCTTGATCATTGTATTAATCAAAGTGAACTTGAGAAGTGATGAAGTAGTATTATGGTCAATGAAAATTATGCAGAAGCAAGATCATATTTAGAAGCTCTTAACCAGTGGCATAAAAGGTGGGTCCCAGCTTATCTTAAAGATTTTTTTTTTGCAAACATGATCTCAACACAAAGAGGGAAATTGATGAATAAATTTTTAAAAGGGTTTCTTGATAGTAAAATCACACTTACAGATTTTCTAGCAGGTTTTGAGTAAGTACTCGAAGTTTATAAGAAGACAGAGCATATTTCCGTATATAAAGAGCTTGTTTATCCTTCTTGTTCAACATCTTAAAATCTTATCGAAAATCAAGCCACTAAATATCTAACACGATATGCATAGAAAAAATTTGCAGCTGAATAGAATGCTAAAGATGCATACATGTGTATAGAAACAGAGAAAAATAATGAATTGTATCATTTTGAATTATCACACTATGAAAGGCCTGATATATTGCATTGTGTATCCTATAATAGCTGTATACTTAGTTGTAGCTGCTGTAATCTTGAATTTGCTGGAATAATTTGCTGCCATTTTCTTGCAGTAGCAGTTTACCTTTTTCTTGCACAACTTGATTCATTTCACTTTTCAAAGTGTTGACAAAAAGATCCATCTGAACTGGAGCTTGTAAAAGATTATATTAATTTCTATAGCTATTTACAGTTACAGGCCTCAGGCACCTTAACATCATATGAATCATCTAGTGAATGTGTTTCTCAGCTCTGATATATGCATATCCATCAATTTTTAGAAGAAATAGCAAATAAGATTGCAACAGATCCTGATAAGTGTGCAGATTTTATGTCATACCTTGAGAGGTACTTGGAATCTTTGTATAGTATTTTTGATTTAGAGCATCTAATAATTCACAACTCAATAAAGAGCAAAGCTGTTAGGTGATCAAAAAAAAGAAGAATCAGATATGAAAAAGAGAATATGTCTATTGCTGCTATAAAAAACAAGCAAGGATGACCAAAAAAAACTCTTGAAGAAAGTCTGGCCAAAAACTAGATAAGAATAAGCATCCACAAAACATAATTATAACAAGGTAAAATTTCTTGGCATTTAATTAGAATTTAGTTTAGTATTGATAAGTTAAATGTTATATACTTACAGGTTTAAATAAACTTACAAGACCTTACAGATCTAATGCAAAAGAGAACATATATATAAGATGTATAATTAGAAAAAAATAAAAAATAAAAAAATTTTGTAAGCTTGTTAGTTCCTGGTTTATTAGTATTTAGGTGACATGTCATTATATACAATTTATGTATGTAATGCTCCTTAAATTTTGTAATATTTTAAACATTGCTCTTTCATCCTTGCCAATTAGCTGTTTTACATTTAGCAATGACTAGTGTAATATGACCAAGAACATTATACTGTAACATTGAGTATGCTCAATGTTAATCATGAAGATCTGATATTTGACATAATAAAAATATTAATTTTTACAATTAATTTGACTACACCAATTAGTTTTCATGAATACTTTTAACTGAGCTAATTTTATGCTCATCAATCAACATACAACAAATTGCAATAATTATAAAACTTTTGAAACCTGCAATTCATGAAGTTTCAATTATTGTAAGAATTGATAGATGCAAATTTTAACTTGTAAAGCACCTGATATGAAGTTCTGGCATCACATATATTATCACAATAATCTGTAAATATAGGGACAGGATTTTTTTATTCATTATAAAAAACACAATCATTCTAATTTAAAACTAACATAACTTTATCTAATCACACTTGTCATCACAATAGTCTATAAGTACAGAAAAAGAATTTTTTACAGTAAATCACTTGGAAATCATGATCATTCCAATACGTAACTAGTATAACTAACTAAATCACATATGTTACAACAATAGTCTGTAAGTATAAGAACAGAGTTTTTATTAAATCACTGCAAAAATAAGATCATTCCAATATAAAACTAACTCTATATAAATCACACTTGTTATCACAATGTCTAGTAACTTAAAATCATGATTATTCCAATATGAACTAATATAGTCATAACCAAATTACTTAGGTCATCACAATAATCAATAAGTAGAAACAAAAATTTTACATTAAATCACTTGAAAATCATGATTGTTCTAGTACAAAGCTAACATAACTATAACTAAATCACATAGGTCATCACAATGGTCTGTAAGTACAGGAACAGAATTGTTTATATTAATGTCATTACAATAGTCTGTAAGTACAGGAATCACTATAAAAAAAATTACAATACAAAACTAATATAACTATCTAAATCACATGTTGTCACAATAGTTTGTAAATACAGAATTTTTTTACTATAAATCATTTGGAAATCATGATTATTCCAATACAAAACTAACTTACTTTAAATCACATTTGTCAATACAATAGTCTGTAAATCCAGTAATAGAATTCTTTACATTAAATCACTTGGTTATTCAAATACAAAACTAACATGCTCTTTTTAAATTATGTTTGTTACCACTATAGTTTGTAAGTCTAGCAATAGAATTTTTACATTAAATCACTTGAAAATCACAATTATTCCAATACAAAATTAACATAGCTGTATCTAAATCACATATGTTGCCACAATAGTTTGTAGGTACAAACAGAATTTTTTTACATTAAATTACTTGGAAATCATGATCATTCCAATGCAAAACTAATATATTCTATCTAAATCACATTTGTTATCACAATAGTCTATAAGTCCAATAATAAAATTCTTTACATTAAATCACTTGGTCATTCAAATACAAACTAACATGCTCTTTTTAAATCACATTTGTCACCACTATAGTCTGTAAGTCCAGCAATAGAATTTTTTACAGTAAATTACTTGAAATTATGATCATTTCAATATGAAATTAACATAGCTGTATCTAAATCATATATGTTGCCACAATAGTTTGTAGGTACAAACAGAATTTTTTTTACATTAAATCACTTGGAAATTATGATCATTCTAATGTAAAACTAATATACTCTATCTAAATCATGTTTGTCATTACAATAGTCTGTAAGTCCAGTAATAGAATTCTTTACATTAAATCACTTGGTCATTCAAATACAAAACTAACATGCTCTTTTTAAATCATGTTTGTTACCACTATAGTTTGTAAGTTCAGCAATAGAATTTTTTATAGTAAATCACTTGAAAATCATGATCATTCCAATATGAAACTAACACAATCATATCTAAATTACATATATTGCCACAATAGTTTGTAAGTACAGAACCAGAATCTTTACATTAAATCACTTGAAAATTGTGATCATTCCAATGCAAAATCAACATATTCTATCTAAATTACGTTTTTCACTACAATAGTCTGTAAGGAGTTTGCCAAGGTGACCTCCAAAAGTCCGAATCAGTTGATCCATACTACAGCCATATATTAATAAGAGTATTACATATGTACGTATGTACGATATTGCTTTGTTGTATTTAAGAAATTTTCACAGAGATAAATGATTTGATAATTTTCTAAGAAATTATATAATGACTATGGCGTGGATCACCTGATTCAGACTTTTGGAATCGCCCTAGCAAACTTGTCTGAAAGTCCAGTAATAGGATTTTTTATATTAAATCTCTTGGTCATTCCAATACAAACTAACATACTCTTTTTAAATTACGTTTGTCACCACTATAGTCTGTAAGTCAATAATAGAAGTTTTATAGTAAATCACCTGGAAATCATGATTATTCCAATATAAAACTAACATAATGCTATCTAAATCACGTATGTTACTGCAATAGTTTGTAAGTACAGAAACAGAATTTTTACATTAAATTATCTGAAAATCATGATTATTTATATATGAAACCAACATGACTCTAACTAAATCACATGTGTCACAATAGTCTACAGTATAAGAACAGAATTTTTACAGTAAATCACTTAGAAATTATAGTCATTCCAATACGAAACTATCATAATCTAACTATGTTTGGTCCTTTGGACTTCAAATGGTTTCCATTTTCTTAATTTAGGTTTATTTTGTTTATATTGATTAGAGCATTAGATTTTAGTTTTTTAATAAAATTAATCGGTTGATAGTTATGTGTAAAACTCGTAAGTCACGTGATTACGGCTAATTTTGATTGGTGAATATAAACGGGAGATGTATATCTCAGAGAGAGATATATATCCCGTGAGAGATGCCTAAAAGCACCCAATAAAAAATAATAAATATAATAAATATAATAAAAAATAATAAAAATAATAAAAAATAAATAAATAATAATTTATTTATTTATTTTTTATTA